AAATGATAGATATGGACGGGATTAAAAATGGAAAGACAGAGACAAGCTCTTACTGAGATATTTGTGAAGATGTATGTTATCTCAATGTTTTTTCTTACTCCAAAAGCAGTCTTTTGCCTCCCATAACCAATGATTCATGGATATACGGAATTAATCTAAACGCCAAATGGTGATCGCAAATACCCCTAACTGACGCAAGAGGACGCTCGGACAGATAGACAGACATTTGAGTAGGTCCCCCCTCAGGGCGATACAAATCCAATTAAAAAAAACAAACATCGCAATATATTAAGAACATGCATTGTATTCTTAGAAGTATAAAAATAACATATCTAAATGACAAAGTAAACGCAAATATGACTCGTTTACGTTGTATTAGGGTATAAATTGTGACCTTGTTGCACCATAAAGTTTGTAGTTTTAATGGATGTTTTTCAAAGTATGAGCTTGGAAGTCTTAATAAGTATTACTGCACTATAAAAGAAAACATGCCTAGTTAAATGCCTTCTTGAGCTTGTTTACTTTAATTATAATACAGTGAACATAGAAAAATGTCAGCCATTTTGAAATCCAAGATGGCTGATGCAATAAATTATATTGTTTTTGCATCTATTCTTCTCGTCCACACTTTAGCAGACTAAAATTAACAAAGTCTTAAATTAAAATGACAAACAAATGTGTATATATCTCGCCTATGGGAGAATTAAAGTAAAATTAAAAAATTCAATGGCGGCCATTTTGAAATTGATTTTTTAATGTCAAGGACTAAAAATACAGCCATGGTAGAGCAAAAAATGAATTCAGCGTACACGAAATAGGTAAGAAAGCCCAACTACCTGCTTGTACTAAAAAATGCCGTTAGAATGAACATTTTCCCAAAATCAAACCAGTCTATTAGGGTCATAATTGGAGGCTGATTCATATCCCCTTTTCTACTTAGTCGCTTGGTTAATGTTTACATGCAAGTTTTACATATCTCAATAACTATTAAAGATATTTATTTAAAACTTCACATATGCATTAAGGGTCATAATTGTAGGTCACTGACAAAGATCCATAATTCTATCTTGCATTTAGGCTGATTTTTCTCCCCTTTTTCAACTTAGAAATTCATGGTAAAGTTTTGCTTGTAAGCTGTTATCTCAATAACTACTGAAGGGTTTGTGCCTTTTTTGGGACAATTTTATGCATTCATAATAATAAAGCAGTGATTTACTTGATAAAACATCTTAATAAAAAGCCTTTGTACCTTTTCTGTCAAATTTATGTATTCATAGGTTATTAGTATTATTATACTAAATAAAACACCCTTGTGACATTACCTTCCGAATAGTTAAGTCAATACTGTATAATTAGACTCTCCCTAAGGCCTATAACATGAATTTACAAGAATTTGTAACAGAGTTACCAACGTCCCCCGCCCCGGGAGTTTTATATGAAGCATAAAATTTTGCTATTTCAAAAGATTGAGGTATGGATCTCAGGACATTCAGTCCAAAATTATGATCAATGCTAGATCTGCAAATGTAACAATAAATTTGTTAAAAAAATAAAATGAAACACGGAATTTAAAAATCTATCATGTTAAGCTTTGACCTCTAAGTGTGAACTTGACCTTGGAGGTAGGGGAGCAGGTGTTGTGCATGACATAACGTCTTATTATTGTGACTATTTGTGCCAAGTTATTTCAAAATCCCTTGAACTATGAAGAAGTTCTAGATTCAACACAAAATATACCCTATAACAGACTATGTTATTTTTTGACATCTAAGTGTGACCTTGACCTTGGAGGTAGGGATGCCGGTGTTGCGCATGACACATCCTCTTATTATAGTGACTATTTGTGCGAAGTATTTTCATAATCCTTTGATCTATGAAAAAATTATAGACCTGACACAAAATATACCCTGTAACAGACTATGTAAGTATTTGACCTCCAAGTGTGACCTTGACCTTGGAGGTAGGTGACCGGTTTTTGCGCATGACACATCATCTGATTATTGTTAACAATTATGGCAAGTATTTACAAAAGTCCTTCATAGATAAGAAAGTTATGGACTGGACACGACATATACCCTCAAATAGACAATGTTGACCTTGAATGAACAAGTACGACATTGACCCTGAAGGTACGGGTCTGGTTGTTGCGCATGACACATCGTCTTATTATAACAAACATTTGTGCCAAGTTATCTCAGATTCCTTTGATAAATGACAAAGTTATGGACCGGACACGAAATATACCCTGTAACAGACTATGTTAATTTTTGACCTCCAAGTGTGACCTTGACATTGAAGGTAGGCAACTGGTTTTTGCGCATGACACATCGTCTGATTATTATGAACAATTATGGCAAGTATTTACAAAAACCCTTCATAGATAAGAAAGTTATGGACCATACACGAAATATACCCTGTAACAGACTATGTTAATATTTGACCTCCAAGTGTGACCTTGACCTTGAAGCTAGGTGACTACTTTTTCCGCATGACACATCGTCTGATAATTGTGAACAATTATGGCAAGTATTTACAAAATCCCTTCATAGATAACAAAGTTATGGACCGGACACGAAATATACCCTGTAACAGACTATGTTAATATTTGACCTCAAAGTGTGACCTTGACCTTGAAGGTAGGTGACTGGTTTTTGCGCATGACACATCGTCTGATTATTGTGAACAATTATGGCAAGTATTTACAAAATCCCTTCATAGATAAGAAAGTTATGGACCGGACACGACATATACCCTCAAATAGGCAATTTTGACCTTGAATGAGCAAGTGTGACCTTGACCCTGGAGGTAGGGGTCTGGTTGTTGCGCATGACACATCGTTTTATTATAATAAACATTTGTGCCAAGTTATTTCAAATTCCTTTCATAAATGACAAAGTTATGGACCGGACACGAAAGTGTGACGGACGGACAGACGGACGGACGGACGGACAGACGGACGGAGCCTATTTCTATATCCCCCTTTTTTCTTCGAAAAGGCGGGGGACAATAAAAAAAAATAGCCCTTTTGTGAACTTAAAAAAATTTAACATTATCAAGGCTCTTTTACTATCAAGCACTTAGAATAGTCGGGCGTGCTGTCCTACAGACAGCTCTTGTTATTATTAGGGTTGTAGTACCGAAAGTACAAAATACCAACGTGTTGACTTAGAGTCGGATATGTTTAAAATTGTACGTCAGTTGGCATATTTATATAACAAATGGTTTTCAGACATATTTTCAATCATAATTGTACCGAAACAGACTTAATTTTCTTTTGGATGTCAGTTATATGTACATTCGTTTTACATTCTATCTCTTAATGTTTACATCTGAAACCATGTGGTAGAACTACTTTTACTCAGTATTGTTTCTAATAGCCGAGGTTGTTCAGATTGACAAATTTCAAAAAAGGTAAGGAATTTAAATGTCAGTTTCATTGATTGGATGATTTATATTCCTTACAATATGCAAAAGAAGAAATCATAAACAGTTGCATTAAAATTTATTCAGCGGTTTCAGAAAACAAACGCACACAGACCGCCAAACAACCTAACGGACTGTCCTACAGTCAGCCTAAAGCGATTCAACACCTTTTAAAACTTTTTGTTATTCCGGGTTTATCGATAAAATAACATCATTTAAAGTTATTTGAAGGGTGGTCCTTCATTTATGTACTTGAATGTGAAATAACAACGTTTTATATAAATGATATATGAATCAGGATTTCCAGTTGGAAAGGGTTAAATGATTAGTTATAAAATGTCAATCGAGGACAGTTTATGAGGATGTTTAAGACACAAGGCTTAAAGAAACTGTTCCGTATTGTTGTAATTATTCAATAGTTATTTATCACTCTATTTACCCCTGAGATTTATTGATGTATAGATGATATTTGTTTGTGTTGCATGTAGATCTTAAGATTGAAATATACTTCACTGAATGAACACCAGCTTTTCTATTTTCACTCGTGGCTATGCCACTCGTGAAAATAGAAAAGCTGGTGTTCACGAATGAAATATATTTTATTTTTGTATGTTAAACAAATACATTTTCTTTATATTTCATGCTTTATAAGTAATTTTAAGTACTTTTTACTGATTTTACCGCGTAGCGTCGCGTATCCTCCTTCATGACGTTATTACATCATGACGTCACATCATCATGTTTGAAATATGGTTCTGTTAAATTTCTCTAATTTTGTTTCATTTTTAACATGATGGATGATAACATCGGCTTTTTTTCCCTTAAGATGCAAAATTGACGTCATTTATTTTTGCCCGTTATTCCATTTAGTTATATTATTCTTTTCATCCGCATTCAGATATTGTCCGGCTACAGTGAAAATTATATTATTATCAAGTGTTTTACTGTAATGCAACGCAAATTATCCTCTATTTCTTACATGCTTTTTGGTAGTTAATAGAAATATATCACTAAAATAAAAACTGTTTTTTTCTACAGTTTGAAACAGTGAAATTATAAATTTGGTATTTTGTTCTGTTTTGAATTTAAGCCCGTAACGTTATTTCAGTAATATACCAGCGTGCACAGTACTAGGAACCAACATAATGACGTGACGTTGTAAATGACGTCACGTTATATTCTTATTTGGCGCACTTTTCATTTAGCATCAGGTTAAAACGCCTTTTTAAACGTTTCTTTGCATATAATAACAGAAAATTTTGTAATAATTATAATAGATAATTATATAGATGATATTTGTTTAGTTCAGTGTAAGGTCGAAATATATTTCACCTCGTGAACACCGAAAATTCATATTTCACTCGTGGCTGCTCACTCGGTGAAATATATTCCAATCGGGCCGCAAACTAATAATAGATGACGTGACACTCATAATCAGTTGAAATCATAGGCGATTATGTTTCTATATATAGTAACAATTGTATTAATCTTGTATAGTCGTTTCTCTGCCTTTCAAAAGATATCTCAAAGCGTCCATTTCATTGAACAATAAATTTTTTCAGCTTAAAATAACAAACCTGCCGCTTGCCGCCTTTTGATCTCATCAAGGTCTTTCTTCACTTTAGTTACATTTTCTTCAATGTCTTTAAGGCCTCTCTTCACTGCAGTATCATTTTCTTTCACGTCTTCAATGTCTTTCTTCACTTTCTGCACATCAGTTACATTTTCTTTCATGTCTTCAAGACCTCTTCTCACTTCAGTAACATATTCTTTCACGCCTTCAAGGTCTTTCTTCACGTCAATTACATATTCTTCCACGTCTGTCATTGCCAGTAACAGTCGCTTAACAACGGCTTCATAGTCATTCAACTTTTTCATTTCTTCCTCTATCCTTCTCTCTTCTTCCAGATCAAGAGGGATAGTTTTGAATTCGGCAATTGTTTGCTGAATATTCACAGCTGGTGAACTAAGACGAACAAGTACCTAAAACCGAAATTTAATAAAACCTTATCATTTAAATCGTGATTTTTTTAATTACGTGAATCTTTAAAATATGGAAGCACTGAATGTACTGGGAACCTTAAAATTGTAAAACATTATAAAGCACTGAAATTTACCGAAACTTGAAAAAAAAGACATTGGAATTACTGATACTTCAAAACTCTGATGCACAGATATAAATGGACACCTGAAAGTGTAACGCACTGAAATAACTGGATATTGAAAATTGAGAAGGAGTGAAATTATTTATACTTGTGAATTGTGACGCACTAAAATATCTGATAATTGGAAAATCATGAAACACTGAAAGCACTTGACACCTGAAAATTGTGACGTACGTGCTAATTCTTGAAAAAGCGTAAAAAGGTTTTTTAAAGTCTAATACATTGGCGCCTGACATAATTGTAGGAGTTGAGAGGTACATAGTATGCAAGCGAACGGTATCTCATAAGTCAGAAATGGCTGGCCCTTTCAGTAGGATTTGTGACACCTTAACAAACAAGACCTTTACCTTAACATTTTACAACAAACTTTCGCAGAGATAACTCAAAATCAGATTTGGATTTTCCAAAATTTACAAAAAATATTTTACAATTAAAAGAACCCCACTGAGGACGTAAAGTCTAAAAATTAAAATTTGATTTTCTTACATATTTCAAATTGGACACTTTAAATAAACAAAACCTTTACCTCAACATTTTAAACCAGGTCAAATTAAGCACTTTAATAAATAAAAATATTAAGAAATAATCTCTGAGGCGAGCTCAAAATTGTTTTTTTTTGTGTGTGTGTGTGTGCGTGTGTGCGTGTGTGTGTGTGCGTGTGTGTGTGTGTGTGTGTGTGTGTGTGTTATTCTTAGCCCGATTTAAGTAAAAACCGTTGCTTTTTTCAATCTTTAGTCGCAATTCACTGTTAGAATGATTATTCTGGAAGCAACGGAGACCTACAAAATGAAACAATAATCTGAAAAATTATTTCCAGTCCAGTTATGTCTTGGAACTTCAGCGAGCAGTGCTGTAAATCATTTAAATACTCCCAAATGTTTCAAAGGGAAATTGGCTTGTTTGAACTCGACGCATTGCAACACAATTTTTATATATGGATTATATTATTGAATACAAATTTAATCCAATGAAATGTTAACAGAAAAGACATTACTAACCGTATATAATACTCTTTGTTCATTTAAAAATAGATTGAAAGGTTACACAGATGATGGTTATAATAATACTATGAAAGCGAAATGTGCTCACCTGTTCAATATCATTCCACATTGTTGTGAAATCATTTTGTTGTATTACAGTCGTTGTTGATATATGACTTATCTAAAATAAAAACTCAAAATAATTGGCTGAAATAAGATCTAAAATTACCAAAATGGTAGGTAACAATAGCTTCCCTCACCCTTCCTCAGTCTGAAGACCACCCACTCCCTTCTTTCTAAACAAAGCAAACAAGAATAACAACAACACATACCCCTTTTGTCACGGGAGGCATTGAGGAAAGTAATGCAAATTTGTTATATACCTTCTTTACGTCCGCTGTAATAAGTACGGTAGAGTGTAAACTATCCCAAAATTTTTATACATGTATTTAGTTATACAGGTTTTGTTTTCGACGAAATGCAGTGAATAAAACCCAAAGAGCACGATATGTAGAGAACATCACAATACACTTCTTGTGAATGAGATATAATAACTAACAAAGTTTAAAAAGCCCATACTAAGTAAAACGTAACAATGTAAAACATTGTATGGAAAAAGTACAAAAGGAAAATCAGTACAAAATTATGCCAAACTTAACCAAATCCTGTCGTTTGTTCTTGAAGGTCAATGTCTTAATATAAGTCAAGTTCAAGTTTAATATGGTATGCTCAATAGAGCTTTTGTGTTAAAGCATGAAGACAATCAATTTAGAAATTAAAAAGAAATGTTAAACGTCAATGCCACCAAAAACCAAATCATGACTATCCAAACATCTTGGATTGTTACAAGACTGCAGTAATATTTCGGATTAGTTCATGACGACAGTCAAAGCTCGGACTTATTCATGGTGGCAGTAGAAAATTGCATTATTTCATGAAAGCAGTAAAAGCTCGCATAGTTTAATTGCGGAATTAAAAGCTCGGATGTTTCATGACGGCGGTAAATTCTCCCATTGTTTCATGAAAGCAGTTAAAGCTCGGATGTTTCAAAACTGTAGTTATATCTCAGAGATAATTCATGACTGCAGTAATATCCCGGATTGTTTTATGACTGCAGTATTATCTCGTATAATTTTATGTCTGCAGTAAAATTTCGGAATATTTCATGAATGCAGTGATATCTCGTATTTTTTCATAAATGCAGTAATATCTCGGAATTTTATGTAGGCAGTTATATCTCGGATCATTTCATGACTGTAGTTATATCTCAGATTATTTCATGACGACAATAATATCTTGGATTATTGCATAACTGCAGTTTTATCTCAGATTGTTTCATGACGGCATCATTATCACGGATTATATTATGTCTGGGGTTAAATCTCGTAATATTTCATGACGGCAGTAATATCTCAAATTATTTCATTACTGCAGTAATATATAGCGTTATTTTATGTCTGCAGTAAAATTTGGGAATATTAAAATTTTCATGAAGGCAGTAATAATTCGCTTTATTTCATGACAGCAGTGTCATCTGAGATTATTTCATGGCTGCAGTATATTCTCGAATTGTTTCATGACTGCAGTATTATTTCTGATTTTTTCATGATGCAGTATTATCTCAGATTGTTTGAAAGCGGCGATATTATCTAGAATATGACGGCAATTTTACCTTTTATTGTTTAAGTTATATCTCGGATTGTTACATGAAGGCAGTGATATCTCGGATTAGTTCATGAATGCAGTAATATTCGGCATTGTTTTATCACATTGGATTCTTTTATGACTGCAGTAATATCTCAGATTAATTTACGACGGTAGTATTATCTCTGATTGTTTTATGACGCAGTATTATCTTGGATTGTTTTATAGCAGCAGTATTATCTTGGATTGTTTCATGACAGCAATATTATTTCGGATTGTGTCATGATGGCATTAATATCTCGGATGTTTCATGATGACAGTGATACATTCCGAATTATTTCATTTCATGACGACTGTATTATCTCGGACCATTTTATGGTGGATTGTTTCATGACGGCAGTATCAACTCTATTTTTTAATAACTTCAATATGATCTCGGATGGTTTCTTTAGGCAGCACTATCTGTGATTCTTCCATGACCGTTTTATATAAATTTGTTAAATGACGGCAGTATTATCTCAGATTGTTTCTTGGTGGCAATATTATCTATAATTGTTTTATGACTCCAGAACTATCTCGGATTGTGTTTTTTTTGCGGCAGTATTATTTATCATTGTTTCATGGCGACAGTTTTATCTCGGATTGTTTCTTGGTGGAAGTTTTATCTTTTTATTGTTTCGTGATGGTGTATTATCTCGGATAGTTTCATGACGTTAATATTATATCGGATTGTTTCTTGACTGCAGAATTATCTTTGATTTTTTTTCAAGACGGCAGTATTTTCCAGTATTGTTTCTTGGCGGCAGTTTAACCTCTTTTTGTTTAATGAAGGCAGTAATTATTCTGATTGTTTCATGAAGGAAGTATTATCTCGGATTGTTTCATAGTGGCAACATTTTCTCTAATTGTTTCTTGGCTGCAGAAATATCTCTGATTGCTTCAAGACGGCAGTATTATTTCGAACTTTTTCTTGGCGGTAGTTTTAACCCGGATTGTTTCACGACAGTAGTTTTATCTTGAATTTTTTTTGATAATAGTTTTATCTAACCCTTTTTGATAATAGTAAAATCACATCTTACTTGTTCGTGGTGCACTATTTCATCACATAAATAAAAGGCCAGAATTTTACATTACAGTAATGGTAACTTGAAATATGTCAACGGAGATGTCGGATAAATATATTAAAAATATTTATGTAAACTGCATTAGTATCTTTGTTTATTTTTCATGTTGGCAGTATCATATCTGATTATTACATAAACTGCGACGCAGGAGTGTAATAAAGTCATTCAATAAAAATGATATTACACTAGTGTAATAAAACTTTGACGTGACGTCATTTGCGCTGTCTAAAACATAGCGTAAAATCGCGCTAATGTTAGCGTTACACTATAAACGCGTCAATGAAAAATGACTAATTAAACAGTAAACCATTCTTATTTAATATATGTGATAAATAGAATATTATATTCGTGTAGATTCAATACCATATTTATTGAACGAGTTGAATAAAACAATATCATGCTCGCCAGAGGCTCGCATAGTATGATTTTATTCAACTCGTTCAATAAAGTTAGTATTAAATCTACACTCATTCAATATACTCTATTTGTTTAATAGTTACTAGGAATGTTTCATGGCGGCAGCATTATATCGGATTGTTTCATAACGGCAATAATAACTCTGGTTTTCTTGTGGGCAGTATTATCTAGGATTGTAATATGACAGCAGTATCATCTACTGTCTATTGTTTTATAAGGGAGTAATATCTCTGATTGTTTTATACTTGGAATGTTTCATGACGGCAATATTACATCTACTGTATTTGTTTTTGACGGTAGTATTATCTCGGATTTTTTATGACGGCAGTATTATCTCGGATTGTTTTATGACGGCAGTATTATCTCGGATTGTTTTATCACGGTAGTATTATCTCGGATCAGTTTCTTTGCCGGCAGTATTATCTAGGACTGCTTTATGTCAGCAGTATTATCTAGGATTGTTTCATGGGGGAAGTATAATCTCTGACTGTTTTATGACGGCAGTATTATCTCAGACTGTTTCATAGTGGCAGGATTTTCTCTTATTGTGTCATAACGGCAGTATTATATCGGATTGTTTCATGGCGGCAGTATTATTTCAGGTTCTTTCATAGTGGCAGCATTACCTCTGATTGTTTCTTGAAAGCAGTTTTATCTCGGATTGTTTCATTGCGGCGATATTAGCTCTGCTTGTTTCATGATGACAGTATTAAATGACGGCAGTATTATCTAGGATTATTTCATGACGGCAGTAATATCTCAGATTATTTTCTTGACGGCAGTATTATTTCGCATTGTTTCTTGATACCAGTATTATCTCGGAATGCTCCTTGATAGCAGGATTATCTCGGATTGTTTTATGATGGCAGTATTATCTACGATTATTTCATAACGACAGTAATATCTCGAATTATTTTCTAGACGACAGTGTTATCTCGGATTCTTTCTCGGCGGCAGTGTTTTTTCGGATTTTATCAGTGCAGTTATATCTTGGATTGTTTCATCATCTCAGTTTTACCTTGGATTATTTTTATGATAGTTGTAAAACTGAGTCTTTTTGATGATTGCAATATAACCTTGGCTAATGCCGTGATTGATTATTTCATGATATTAATAAAAGTCTTGAATTTTTCATGACAGTAATGACAGCTCGACAAAAATGCATCGGAAAAAGTTCAAAAATATTCATGTTTAAGAATTTCATGTTATAACCTTTTCAGTACGACTACACAGCTATGCATCACACCAAATAAGTTCTTGTCTAGACATTATTAAAAGTTGGACTATTATAATTATGTGTTTTATATATGATGATTGATTAAATTATATTTAAGTTACACTTTGGAAGAAATACAATACTTTTAAAATAAGTAGACACTTAAATTCTTAATGTATAAAATATTTACTTTTTTTTAATAGCCAAGGCAGGAATTTAAAATTGCCTTTCGCATTGACTTCTTCATAATACACTTACTTTATTTCGGAAATCCTTTAACCGACATATGTCTGCCTCTATTGATACATCGGTTGGTGCTGGTGTTGCTCTCCAGTCAAATTTTTGATTTAATCCGAAACATTTCAGGTTTCTAAGAAGACAAATGATAAGCGTGATGTCCAAATCTGACAAAGTTGGAACTTGACCCCCCGTTGGAAACAACACATCATATTGGACCTGGGTTATAACGCCGCGGTTTTTTAAACGTGTTATTGTTGTCTTTTCTTGACTGAAGCAGGCACGTAACGTTATGCACTTAAATGTCAGGGTCTGGTCCATTATATTTCTCATAACCAGGAGGCCACCATCGATAACAAGTATTTGTAACCGAAACAAAAATATACGGTTGTCTGGCGTCTGTGGTTGACCTCCGGTTGCCATTTTGTTGCTTCTTGCTGTAAATGATGAAACGTAAAAGTTATTTTAGAAATTAAATAATTGCTTTAAACACAATTGTATGCATGTAGTTATGCTTAGAACCTTAATCATAATAATATAGTAAATTTTTGCTAGTTAAATATTACGATCTTGTTGTCAGATTGTGTTTCTGTCAAATAATTGACATTTAGACGTTATTATTCTAATTCATTTTATAATAAGTGACAATTACTTATTTTTAAGATAAAGTGATTCAATAATCATTTAAATAAATGTGAATATTAATTTTAAATAAATATCTTACATAATAATTCAAAACTAAATTTAATTTCATGTATTGTAGTTTGGGATAACAATTACTCTCGTTTTGTTGTATTTTGGTAAGACAATAATCGATGGTGATATTAATAATGATATAACACCAACACTTCCTTATTATCTTTTGTTTAAAATATAACAGTTTAAATATCTACATAAGCATTCAACTACAAACATAAACAGTGATTACAGTGTCTACAGTCAAATAAGTTAAATAGGGTAACTCAATTCAATTTGTTAAGATGTATAATCATAAATCTGATTTTATTGGTCTCACATAGAAACTAAGGTCAAAGCATTCAATTAAATTAATTATTGTTATTAATGTTGAGCGGGTGCCATTTAATTATAACCAAATGAAATAAACAAATTCCATTTCAACAAATTGGGTGAATAAAAAAATATAAATGATCATACTATAGAGATCGATTTTCCATGCTGATTGACTGAACAGATCATTTGACGGCGTCTTTGATGTGCAGCATGAACATTTAACTTGTTTCTACTTATATTCAATCCATATTTGTGCAGCTATTGAGCGATAAATTAGTGGTAAAAAAAATGGTTCTGATTTATTGAAACGGATATAAATATCTAAACATTATAGCCAGAGGCGCAACACATATAGTGTAGATAAAGTGTACATGTACTATTTTATTACGTTGGATTCGTTTCAAAAAATCGTATAATCCTAACCAGTGTTTCGAATTATTGCAATAAATGTCCGTCAGGAATAAAAAAAGTCTTTATGTCAAATAAATCAGATGTTTAACATTTAACATGTGTACTATTTATGGTTATAGCTCACCTTATTACTGTGTTCTGAGCACAAAGTGCTTACATATAAACTTTTTTTATGTGGTAAAATATCGTTCTTTTTATAGAAATGATCCTTAAATGATCCTTTACAATTATATAATTATATAGATAGTCCCGGTATCATGCACAAAACTAGCTAGCCAATCGGAAACTACAATGAGCAAAGCTTATTTTTGGCATATAGCTTTACTTTAACGTCCTTTTCAACCATAATAAAAAAACACGTCTTTAGGATAAAAATGGCCCCGTTTTCTGGGTCACTTACTATACATAGACGAACATAAAAAACATTTTATTCCTAGTTATTGTACATTGTCCAGCGCTTTGATATTTGGTTGAAGAATTGCCTTCAGATGAAATGCGAAAGCTCTAAAAAAAGTCTTTATCCCATAGTCAAATTTGGCTCTGCCCTAAGACATAAAAACATAAATCTATAAGTTAGTACTCAATATTTCCCTTCAAAGATTGATGGGTCTACTTCCAGAAAAGGTAATTATCAACTGGACAGGGTTGTTAAAACCACTGGTTAAAATTAAACAAATGAATAAATTCTTAACCAGTGGTCAGCTATCCAGTGGATATAATTTTACTGTTCGACAATTGAATAGTACTCTGGCTACCTAATCAGTGGATTGCCTATTTATCCAGTGTTTAAGTACCACAATGCAACATGGCCGGGTTGTCGTTCCGGAAACAAAATGGCCGATTTATTGATGAATAATAAATTTCTAAGAATCAGGAAGCTACCAAAGAATTAATTTTGCATGTTTTGTGCTTTCGTGTTTTTAGGAATTAAACAAACATTACTGTATATCAAATGCGCTAAAGTATCGATAGATCAATTTTTCTCTTACACATACATAAGAAAACAATTAAAAAAATACAACTTTTTTCAAATTTTGAATTAAAGTTACTTCCATTAGATGGGTAATGTTCTAACTAAGAAAATGAGTACCGACACTTGTATGTTTTATTAAAGAATAAGAAGGTTATGACTGTTTAACTCAATTTTCTGAACAACAACAACAAATTGAGCTTGAAAAAGGGTTCTAAAAGCACTTTTTCAGAAATGTTTCAATTAAATCCTATGCATTTCATATGAAATAATCAAGTTAAAAGAAATTAAAACAACATATATTTGTGAATAGAATCTGTTTCCAGACAAGTTTTAATGATTTTTACTGTTTTAATGATGATGACTAACACCACTGGTTAAGGGCATTATCCAGTGGTCATAGGACTGGTTAAAATTTACCACTGGATAACGCATTTTATCAGTTAGATAACGTTTAACAACGGAATTTATCCAACAGAAAAATTTTAGCTATTGGATAATGATTCTAACCGTTTGTTATCACTAACCAATGTTTTGAACAACCGGGTCCTGGTGGATAAACTGTATGCAAGTAGAAATACTTGAACCACGTAACTGTAAAAAATGGTGTGATAGGAGAAATCTAAATAGCACAGCCAATATAAATCAATCAATAATGAAAAAAATAAATAAATCGACGTACTGTTGAACAGTCTTAATATTAATATATTAAAGTAGCACAATGATCTAAGAAAATTCATGAGAAAGCGTAAAAGAGCATATGACAGAGCAAAAAGAACACAACAAGAACAACACTGGGACATCTATAAACAATTAAGAAACAAAACTACTGAACATCTAAGGAATGCCAAAAAATAAATACGATTAAACTTGCAGGGAAAATAAAAAATGAAAATATAAGCTCATCTGACTATTGGAAACTACTTAAACAATTTATTACACCATCATCACATAACACTGGAATAAACACGCCTATTGACAATGGTACTCCTATTACGTCAGATATTGACAAGGCTAACCTTCTAAATAACTTTTTTCAACCTCAAACCTAGCTAAATGATAACAACAAAGACCTTCCACACATTGAAAACAGTAATGATAATCCTAAATTTAGTCGCATCATTATAGCCATAGATGAAGTAACTCTAATATTAAAATCTCTAACATTAGGTAAAGCGTCCGGGCCAGATACCGTCAACAACAAAATACTAAAAGAACTTGCTGAAGAATTAGCAAATCCTCTCTGTAATCTTTTTAATCGTTTCTTATCTATTGGCGAAATACCTTCTGAGTGGAAGATAGCACATGTTCATGCAGTACTTAAAAAGAATGACCCTCAAGATGTATCAAACTATAGGCCAATATCTCTTCTAAGCTATATCAGCAAGGTCTTAGAAAAAATTATACACAAACATGTCTTTAATTTCTGCGTTTGAAACAACTCTTTAACCTCTTTGCAATCTGGATTTGTACCTAATGTTTCTACTACAAACCAGCTCGTATCTATCTATAACACATTCTGTCAAGCTCTTGATGTTGATAAAGAAGTCTTCTGTGATATTTCTAAGGCGTTTGACCGTGTATGGCATCGAGGTATGTTGTATAAACGAAAGTTGAATGGTGTAGCAGATCAATTACTTGATTGATTCTGTGATTATTTTTCAGACAGGAAACAGAGAGTCGTACTTCCCGGAGCCATGTCTGATATTATCAATCTTTCTTCTGGCGTTCCACAAGGTTTCATCTTTGGTCCTCTTCTTTTTCTTGTCAATATCAATGATATTGTTTGTGATATAAACTCCACTATTAGACAGTTTGCTGATGATACAAGCTTTTATATAATTGTTGAAAATCCGATAACAGCTGCGAATATTTTGAATGATAATCTGAATAAAGTCACTTATTGGGCAAATAAATGGCTGGTTACATTCAACCCAAATAAAACTGAATCATTATTAATTTCTCGAAAAGTTACTAAGCCTATCCACCCCCCCCCCTCTAGAAATGAACGGTACTCAAATATCGGAAGTCATGACTCACAAACATCTTGGTGTTACTTTTTCAAATGACGGCACTTGTAATCATCATATTGACACTATCAAAGCAAAAGCATGGCAACGAATCAACGTCATGAGAAAATTAAAATTTATTCTTGAGAGAAAATCTCAAGAAATCATATATATTACGTTTATAAGACCAATTCTTAAATAATCAGATGTCGTATGGGACAACATAACAATACATCAGGAATATGAAATTGACAGAATACAGCTTGAAGCTTGTAGAATTATCACTGAGGCCACTAAACATGTTTCTATCTCAAACTTATACACAGAAACGAAACTGGATTTAAACGGCTTAAAATCAGGAGAAAAGATCATAGACTTACTTTATTTTATAAGATGAAAAACAACATAACTCCGTCGTACTTATCCAATTTAGTCCCTGATAATGTTGGCGATACTACTACATATAATCTTCTCAATTCTGCCAATTCTAGAATTATACACTGTAGCACCCAGCTTTATTCAAATTCTTTTCTCCCACTTACTGTTTCGGAATGGAATCAACTCCCAAATGATTATAGAAGTTCTTCATCCTTAAGTATTTTTAAAAGCAAGTTAAACTTAAATTCACAAAAGATCCAGAAGTACTATTTTATTGGCTCGAGACCTAATCAAGTATATCACACACGACTAAGGACCCATTGTAGTTCATTAAAGGAGCATTTATTTTTAAAAAATAGTATAGACAGTCCTCTCTGCGAATGTGGGGAAATTGAAGACACGTGTCATTACTTCTTTAAGTGTCCACGCTTTAATGCACAACGTGCTGAACATTCTTGATAATCTACGAAATATTACAACAGACAACCTATCTATACTCCTATTCGGTGACGGCAATCTCTCATATGAATCAAACACATTTATCTTCTTACATGTTCAAAAGTACATTCAGAAGACGAAAAGGTTTATTTAAATAAGGTATTTTAAATAATTCTATTCTCCTTATTATTATTATTACTATTATTATCATTATTTAACTTTGTACTAAGGATGGTGGTAACTGTTGCCTCTGACACCTGTGTATAGCGCTTATCGTGATGTCGGGGGTACTCCTGGATCCCGACCACCACGTGAGGGTCGAGGTTCAGAAGTGCACCTAGCACGAACTGGGACGCGTGTCGTCGCAGGAAGACCTTATTGGAGCTTCTATGTCCCAGTTCATGCTCTGGTTGAGTTCAGGTCCACGAAAAAGCAATCAAAGGCAACTGTTTCTAACCGATCTGAATTATAGTTTTGCAAAATAATTTTCTTTCATTATGGTAACAATTCTGCACTGGAGTATGCATACAGACGCTTTCACAATGCATTCATATAAACTTGAAATGTTAATTGAATATGGAATTCTAAATATCTTGTTTATCGATGTGTTTAAGATACTTTGTAATAAACTTACAACGTATTATGCAAGTAAGGGCGCTCTTCATTTCGTTTCGTAAGAGTTACCCTTATCTTGCTTCCATAGCTTTTGTTTAATGGGTTTCCTTATTATATGCTGTAATAATTATAGCATATTGTCACAAGGAAACATATTACTATATTACTTATAAAGAAATCATTTAAAGTGTCAATACTTGGTAAATAAAAATAAAAATCTTGTAATATTCTTTAATGGGACCTACACTTTCCATTATATTACAGTGACCCCTCCCCCTCTACTCCACTTTTTGTCTCCATTCTGATCTCTTTTTTCTTTTCTTTTTTTGTCTATTTATCTCCGTTTCCCCCATATCGAGAAATTATTTAAAATTTATATTTGATTTAGGCATTGCATTACACACTTGACATGTTTAGCTCCTCTTTATGATTTTGTTACAAATTACGTCATGCGTAGTAGGTATTTATTATCTTCATGTAAACATATGTAAGAAGTGTTTAGTGAAACATTATGTGTTATGAATATATATATATTTTTAAACATTTTTCCTATTGATGCACGAGTTCCTCCCATAGCCACCTATGTTCATATACTCACAGTTTGATAGCCTTTGCAATGATTGAACTGTTGTTTTTTTTTTAAAAATGCATAGAAGTAAAACTTTTATTCAAAATACGACAGTAAATTATTATACATTAAATTATTTTTTATTGTTTAATTTCATTTTGTCTTTAGAATTATTATAACAAACAAAGGCAACCGCACCAAACTGTTTTGTACAAGTTAAAATATGTTTAATTGCTCTGATTCATATGCAAGAAACATATTGTAAACTATTTACACTCGTCTGTTATACATGTCGTCGGAAATACAATACTCTCCAATCGAATATTTTGACAAGATGAACAATTACTGTAAATATAAATCAAATTTCAATTAAGTTTCATGTAAAATAATACAATATACTTCATCTTCATCTTAGATCTTTATCAGAATAGCCATAAAGCATAACAATGCTTGAATGAATGTTAACATGCATGAAGAAGAATAAAGAAGAAATAAACCTGTTGATAAAATTAAAGTTAATTTCAATATAACAATGTCAAAATTGCTGCGGTCTAATTGAGCTGAGCTTAGTATAACATTTCATTTTCATTTTATATCCGATATACAATGTATACAAACGTTTAGTTTAACATTCTCTAGCACTTATTAAAACAATGTGTTTTTAACAACTTTATAAAATAAAAAATAAATAAAAATATAAAAAATACAGTAGTAAAAGTGTAAGACCGTTTTTTCATCAATTTATAAAATGAGATAGGACAAATGTTTATATATTCTATGTTTTAATCCTTAACATGGAAACGGTAAAACGTTCATAAATAATCTAATATTCTTATTTTAACGGTCACTGTAGTCTTTGATATTCAATTTATACGATTCCAACTAGCCATCGGACAAAAAAATGATTTTTTGGTGTAATTGACAAGGAAAAAAGGGACAGTAATATAAAAAGAATTGAAAAAGAATAACGTTTAAATAACTGGGACCCGAAATGGGGTCTAACTAAGAAATTTATTTCCTACCTGGAGACCATCTGCTGGAAAAAGTAAACATTTCTATCAAACATTAGTAGTAGATTGTAGTGATAAAGTACTTTAAACATGCTTTTGCACAATCTGTATTTGTATGCCTCTATAAGCGGCACTCCCTTTTTAACGTTTAACAACACTTGAGATGAGGCCGGTCAATGAGATTTTGTTTTTCATAAAGAATTGATATTTTTTAAAACATTATCTTATACATAATATTTCTAGATATTTAATCTGTTCTTTGTAAACTGTTTTAATGGTGGTTTCTACTAATGGTAACTTAACACTGTTTGCACTTTTATAACATAATGACAGTGTTAAAGCTGCATTCACTCAATGGAGTATTTCATTTTCTCTATTGGGAAATATGTTTAAGTAAAGCAAATGTTTTGTATGCTTAGTTGATAACATTCAAATACGTGGTTTACGTTTTGCTGTTTCTCTTGGGCCAATCAACTTTGCAAAAGAAAGTCAATATTCAGATATTTACAAAGAATAACCTTAAGATTATATGAAATAAATACAGACATCGGTGTGGATTTTCGAATAAACGTTATTAAAATTGAAGGGGTCAGTGCAAAGAGGTAATTAACTCAAGTTTAGAGTAAATTTGTGTAAGACCTTTGTGATTGGAAGAAAATTTTTAGAAATTCGAATAACCTCCCTTTGCTACATGAAATATATATTCTAAATTTTTGAAAACGAAACTTTATTCGTAACATTTAAACTTGAACTGATTTGAATGTTTAAGCTTTGCTTCTTTCTATGAAGAACATATGTTAAAAACTCATATTTTTGTCTCCTGTCGTCAGTCAATTAATCAATTTATTAATCAATCAATTAAATATTCACCAATTTATCGACTAAAGAATTTTTAACAAATAAAACTTTGCAATTGATGATTTTTGTACACGCCTTCAGTTTGTTAAAGCTTAATATTTATCTGTAAATACATTAAGAGTTATATGATAACCTTTTAGTAGATTGAAATGTTGAAGGACATTATGCAATTGTTTTCAAGTCACAAAGGTCCTAACTCCATAAGATTCAGATCCCTTTTTGCATAAGCACATTTGATAAATATAACTTTTCTATATAAAAAATGTTTAAAAATAGTGCAAATCATACAACTGTGGTTTCAAATGTTTTTGTATTTTCTATTTATATCATTACATATTAGTGAATTAATTCTAAAAAATATCAATTAAAACTAAAATTTCATAAAATTCCTTTTTTTTCCCTCAAGATAATGCTAAATAACGTTAGGTACCATCTTGCACTGACCTCTTCAATTATTGCTCAATTATCGTATAAAAGCAATAAAATAATGTTCCTTTACCTGACTGATAACTTTATTATGTCAGCTGTAGGATTTTTTTTAAACCGCTGTTAGTAACAAATAACACATTTCACAATAACTTCCTCTATGAATTACGTTATTTTATATATAATAGTTACTTTCGACTTATTTATAAATCAGTATAAACACTCATGTTTAATGACACTGTCTCCCGGATTGAATGATGATCGTTAAAACCATAGACAAGATTTGAAACATGTTTTTACATTATAATGTCCTTATCTATGTAACGTTTCTAATATCGACCAAAAGAAAATTTAATGAATTTTATATCTCTCAAAGCATATAGCTCGTAGTGTGAACTTGTTTTGAAATGTTTATGGTTCTAGATTTAGATTTACAAAATAAAAAATATTGGTTCCGAAACATTATGGGCGATTCTCAAAATAGTTTTACAATGAATATCCGTGTTTTATAACACAAATGAATTTTATACTTAAACGGGAAAAAAATGTTTCTGAAAAATATGTTCGTTTATGTATCACTGCACTATTTTTTAATAAAAGCAACTTGGAAGTATTCTTTTCTAGAATTCAAACGTAACATTTTACAGCATATCTAGAGCTTCATGTTTGTACAGTCAAATTAAAAAAGCAAGGCCGGGTTATGTCAAGCAAGGTGAAATTATTGTGAATATTGAGTTCTAAATGTGAAATATGTTTCCTTGACTTTGGTTGCAATAAACAGACATGGTAAAACAATGCGCCAAATGAAATTAAAACAATTTGTTAAAAAATTAAATATTGAAGTGTGATAAGAAATTTTATTCATGATATTTTGACAATTGTAGACTATCATTTTTTTGTTATATGTGTTTTCCAAAATTTTAGCGTTTCCAGGTTTTTAATAGGTTTTAAATCTGAACAGTGGTGATGATTCGTAAAATGAAATGTGTCCAGGTATATGATTTGACAAATACATTTTCAAACAAAGATATGTAAAAGTCTGCATTTGTTTATAAAAGTAATGTTATGCCTGATTTTGTTTGATTGTGTTTAATCTAAATTTAATATCTTGTTCGCGAGAAAACTGATTTGTAGCTTACTTGACGAAATAAACTTGCATCTTCCCATGAGCTTACTTATACACACACAAGAAACAACAACATATTTTCTTTATATCTTTTTTTTTTATCTTATGCTTCATTTTATATATAAGAAAAATTGCCTGTTATAGTTTCAAAATGTTACTCGTTGGCAAATTACTTGAATCATCTTCTTGTCCTTTGTTTTTATGTTGTTGTTGTTGTTTTTTCACACGCAATAAGATTTTTACATCCCTTTTATTACCAAGAACATTCGTACATATCAAAGTTAGACTGACGGAAAAAATGAGACAGTGTTTGATGATCAAGTGAGTTAAATGAACGATAAGTTAGTTTCACCTAAGTTTGTACTGCGATTGTAATTTTGGTTATCAATCAATTTCAGCTTTGTTTTACTACATACATGTGACATAATATCTGAAAAAAAACACATGGGGGGTAACTAAACAAAGTAGTTTTCTTTCTTTAAGATCATATATCATTCATGAATACGTTTGATGGCATTCTGTTATTGGCCGACTGTGATATTCAAAATGGCACCAACGATGGCGGAGGATATTAAATTGATTCATACTTAAAATGTTTTGACACATTCTGACACCTAAAATTAAACATTAAAACAGTCTTTTTTCAAAATCATACACGGAATATAAAAAACATGTTCAATATTTAAGATTCCTTTCAGCTTGAAATAAGGGCAATACATTCTATTTCAATTTCGAATTGTTGAAAATCAACTATACACTTTTGTTTTGTTGGATGTGACGTAAAACAAGCAAATGTAAGCATAGCGGATTTTCACTTCCATGCAAAATACTCATACGCTGCATAATTGTATAACTGTACATAATGCAAAAACGCAAAAGAAACACTAAAGCTAGCGAAAAACTGTCTAGCATAGGACATCAAAAATTAAAGAATTTTCAAAATAGAAATAAAATAAAGAATATCATGGCGATACACGTGTAGCATCAGTAAAAATCATAAACACCCGAATAGATTGACTTTTTATTTTTTTCAGATGCGACATCAAATTTTATTTCAAGCGAATCAAACATCTTTGCGACAAATAGCGGTTAATTGTATTAACGATCAAATGTTGTAAGGCATAAATGGACTTAATGAAAATGTTATGGACAAAATGGTCACCAGAGGATACTTAGCATGAAAATTAAAATTTCATTTTTACACATTAAACAATCAAAATGTATTATTGTATAAATGTCTTTCAACGAACGTGGATCGTGTTATGTTGAAATAAGTGATTTGGGCTTTACTGTCTTCACAAAAAGCTAGACTAACATTGTATGAGAAAGGTTTTCATTTTAAAGTGAAGAGCGGTCGGGTGTAGGTCATGGTCACGAGTGCTTAGAATAGATTAAACAGCTTTTGTCATACAAATCTTATTTATTGACTAATGTTTGTAAGATGTCTTAGAAATGTACCTCGGGATGTCCTCTATCTTACAATGGAGTTTCAGTGCACTGGGATTCAGGTCAATGTTACAAGTGCTTATTTGTTTAATGCTTCCGAGGATCTTTTTGTTTCCAGATTTTTACACTTCACAACAGCAGGTGTCAATCGCTGTGTGGCAGCTGTAAAAAGTTGCCCCGTTGTTATATTATTCTGGTCCTTTAGGATCTATCATGCCAGCACTATTAAGTGTTGAGAATTGAGTAGCGCTCAAGCCGGTGCTAGGGGGCGTGAGGGATCTTGCACGTATTCATTATCTCTCATGTACAGACTCAATCAAACCGAGTCTGCAATTCTCTTGTAATTTTGTTGTGATTAATGCTTCTGAGGGATCTTTTTGTTTCCAGATTTTTACACTTGTTTATGAAACTTAAATTTATTTACCGATGTCTATCATATACGGATAGGAAAAAAACCTTTATTTGTCCTCCTGAACTAAAACTGAAATATTAAGTGAAACAAGTTACGTTTCACCTTCACTTTATTTTGTGCAAGAAGAAATCTGTTATTTAGAAGAGTTTATATTTCTCTCCTATTTCCTTGCACATATCAAGCAAGTGTCACATAAAATTAAGTAACTATCCGATTAACTAAAATAACTATAAATAGATGAAATTATATAACTATCCGATAAAGTCAAATTACTTTCAGACAAGCTCAAATATCTATTGGATAAGTTCAAGAAACAATCATATAAACTGAAGTAAGTATAAAATTAGCTTAAACAACCAAGATTTCAGATGCAATCAAGAAACTATAAGATAAACTCAAGTAACTATCATATAAACTCTTCATGTGAGGAAGCTATCCAGCTAGCTTACGGAACGTCGGTGGTTCTACTCAGGTGCCCGTTCGTGCCTGAAATAATGCACGGAAGGGTACCTGAGGTCTTTCTCCACCAGTAAAGCTGGAACGTCGCGATATGACCTATATTGTGTCGATGTGACGTAAAACCCAAAAACAAACAAACAAAACAAACATATAAACTCAAATAATTATCGGTTAAGTTAAAAAAAACTATCACATAAACTCAAGTAAATATCAGACAGACTCGTCTAACTATCAGACAAACTCATGCAACTATTAAATAAAAACAAGTAACTATCAGATACACTAAGTTATTATCAGAAACACTCAAGTTACTATCATTTGTTAATTCGAAGTTACTATCAGATAAGTCAAGTTACTAGTAGATATTAGATTCTCAACTAACTTATATATAAACCCATCATATAAGCTTAAGTAACTATCAAACTATCAGATAAGCTCAAGTAACTTCAAATACTGTGAAATAATTTGTATTCGTAGGGGACGAAATGTCATGGGGTCGTGGGTAATTTTTAACATGTCTCTTTTCTATATATTACACACATGCGTCGGCGCTTTTCCGGCAGATTTTTGTGTCATGAATGTAGACACATAATAAGGTTAGTAACAGATTAAACCGTACACAGTTTAGGTTTGCAGTATTTAAGAAACTTGATTATATGTTCTCAAGTTGCTGTCACAAATACCGGTCGCAAAAACACATCACGGGGACTTCATGGGCCCATTTCAATTATTAGCGTGAGTATGAATTTCAGTTTGCTCTTTTTAATTGTAAATGCAATTAAACATATTTTAGTCTTTTGTCGTAAGTAAAGTACACAAAGCAATACAACAAAACGTTCAATTAAACAAATTTATTGTACATTCTCTTGTCGTTTATAAATGATCCTGTTTAAATTAAAATTGTATTCCGTAAACATCATAAACGCCGACTCTTTATAAGATCAACACAAGTTATTTAATCATATTTATTTATTATTTGCATGTTTTTCTGCTTATTATAAGAATATCTTTAGTGATATTCAAAATAGTTCAGGTAGCCAGCACATTAACTCTAATAACTATCAGATTAGCTCTGATAAACTCAGGCAACTGTCCAATTGGCTCAAGTAACAATCTGATGAAATTAAGTAACTATCAGATCAGCTAACGAAAGTTTCAGAAAAATACAATTAACTATCAATTGAGCTCAAGGAACCATCCGATAAACTCAAGTACCTATCAGATAAGCTCAAGTAACTATCAGATAAATATGTTTTACTGTCAGATTAGCTCAAGTAACTTTTACAAAAACTTAGGTTACTTTCAGATTATTCTAAACAACTATCAAAATACCTCGAGTAACACTCAGATTACATCAAGTTACCATTCAGATTATCTCAATTTACCACCAAATAAACTCAACTTATATTCAGATTAACCTAAGAAATTATCAGATGTGTCTTTAAAACGCTGCTCTGCTTGTTAACATATATAATTGACTTATGACTGATATGATATGAAAGGGAGTTTCCGCCGCAAAAGTAAAACGTTGAAAAAATCTTATTATCAAATTACGTCGAAAATAAAAGACCCTAATATAAATGGTAACACTTGATAGTGTGATTTATGACAAACTATCTTAAATATGCCTTCACCGATATGCAATATAAATAAACTATTGCAGTGCATGTAAATAGAAACGTACACAATATACGACAGTACTATGTACATACAATATACAATTTCATATCACACTTTGATGATATTGCACATTTTAAATATAAATCAAGTTGAACCAAGCCTCTCATTATTAAAAC